AAAACGTCTTAAAGGTCACTGCTTAGTGCTTGAGGTACGTGCATAATACGTCGAGCTGTGCAAAAATCTAAAACCTACTCCGCATTCTGCACTGACAATCCAGTAAGACTGGGTTAAGTACTCTTGAATTTCCACGTATAATGCTTTCCAGACACAGTTTACATTCACTGAAAATAAAAGTAAAACTTCAGTACCCTGGGAACGCATAAGTATTACGGTGGACGTTAAGTGCTATGTAACGTAAGTACTTACTTAAGTAATTAAATACATAGATAAACATAAATCAGCCGAAGCATTTGAGTTTGGTATAATGCAATGGTTACTAAGGTACGAGCCACACTGAGTTGCTGTATCTGTACGAAGGCGCATGATCTCGTCTTCAAAGTTTAAAAGTATTGTACTTGTATACTTAGTTACTGCATACAATATTGCGATATCTAAAAACATTTTGATTAGCAAGTCCGACTGGTACTTCGATATGTTATAATTATGTCATACGTTAAATAACAAAAAAGCAAAGCTTTCAGTGGCAACGTCAACGCTCGCCGGTGCAGCGCTGTGTGATCTAATAAAACAAATTATATTATAATAAAACATGATTGCTACTCGTTATTAGTTGCCTGTGCTTTTTCAGAAAATTTATGTGTTTTAGAACCGTAATGCATTATAAAAGAGAGGCGTATCTCCTTCACATGCACTGTGGTAGAACGTATACTACGCCGGACCGTTTTTTTCACTTTAGCTTTTGAGTACGCACTCAAATTTTAATCTGTGTAATGCGGCTGCATGCACTTTAAATACCGCACAATTACTTTTGCTTTTCGAAAGGTTTTACTACCTTGGCAGCTGTCTTGCTGTACAAAGTTCTATCTTAAGAGGAAATAAGATGCTCAAGTGCAATAAAATATAATTCAAACACGGTATGATGCGTGTTAATGTGCACTACGAGAAAGGCTACTGTTTGCAAAACGACTACCGTAATTATCGAATTTGTGGCTCCCCCGCAATAAGAGCCCCCCTGTAATAAGCCCCCCTCCCCCGACCCTGTTTGAAAAATAAGACCACCCCCCGAAATTGCGCCCCCTCCCCGAAATAAGCCCCCCTCCGCCATAGCATTCGAACTATTTGTACCCCAGAGCCACAAATTCGATAATTACGGTACCTATGAGTTCGGCTGGATCGTGGGCAATTAGACAGTATCTTCTGATCCATAAAATTAAAATTTTATTAGGAAGAAATTGAACAATTATTTCTGTACCGGTAAACAATACCGATTTAATTTACGAGTAAAACACCAACACCAGTTTAATTTATTTACAGTACATACTATCGTAATTTTTTGCCCAGTCATTCCGCTACGACGTAATGCATACCATGACTTGCTGTTTTGGTGTATGCCGGACAACTTGACGATTAGCGGATTCACCCAGAATGCCGAATGCAAAATAACGGACGTAGGATTAGTCAGCGAAAATTTCGAGTCGGATGTTTAAAAAAACCCCAGTAAGTTAACTGCATAAAAGGCTCAAAAAGTGCACAGCAGTGCATTCTTCAATTGGAACAGGTTCTCAGCAAGCCTATTTGCCAATTTCGCAAACAGCATATAAACACTACCTCGTAAAGAAACAAACAGTATCTCTTACAGAAATTCTCTTGGTGTTTATCTTTACAATATTTGCTGGTTAACGGTGGGACGAAAAGGATCAAGTGCTTTCTTGCTATTGATCCCATTCAATCCGATGCGTTCATCCAGTAGCGACAACAGTTTCAGCTCTAACCGCTCGTCCTTAATCTGTTTCTGGATAATATTCGGAGATATCGTAGAAAACCGGAACCGTTTCCAGGCTTGATGATGGATGAAATGCAGCATCTCCCAAAACGATGAGTTACCCGCTCGGACAAATGTGTTAGCGTATGTGTCGCTGCAACCGTGATAGTAAGAATGCCATGCCGGGATTTTCTTGTACGGAATCGGACCACTGTAGTTGATGGCATGGTTGGACATTACGGTATCCATGTAGATATCCTTCCGGTAAGAAGCGTTACTAACGTAGATTTGCCACGGTACGGTACCGCTGTTGTATGTCCACTCTGTTTGGTAATCCGTTTCGTAACGATCCAGCACGGCGCGGATATAATGGTGACCTTTGTGGCACGCAATGAATCCACTGTTGGTTACGTTTCCTTCTTGTGAGAGTAGGCATTCGTAATTTCCCTTTTGCCACTGTTTAATTAATCCTGCCAAAAAAATTTCGAATTGTAAGTTTTCTCGCATAAGAAAGCAAAAAGAAAATTTTATTTATTTGCTTAATGTTCTGCCTTTTTTAGAATTTTTTGTGTTAAGGAGTAACCGGAAACAGTAAAACAGGTCCTATTAAAATTAATTTCTCTGTAAATACTATTAGTAACACTAATGGTAAATATTTGTCGAAGTATTTGATTGTATTGTATGGTGTTAATAACTCGAAGAGTTTAAGAAGATTATTATAATTATTATAGAAAATAATAACAAGATTATAGAAATAAAATCAGGAATTATCTCACGCTTCATATAGGGAAGACAGAATACATCCGTATCCGTCGACATGCCGCCGTATTTCCACACCGCATCATACTTGATAAAATCTGCCTCGTGATTCAGATTATCAATGCGCTTGCCACGAAACGTAAACCGCTGGTGCACGCTAACAAATTCAAATAGGGAATAGTTGGCTATCATATAACACGGAGTAAACGGCCAAAAGTCCGGGTAGTTGGTATGGATGTAGATTTTACTGGGCTGGGCATACAAAATAATCGAGGCAATGCTGAGACATTCCGTCCAGCAAAAGACATCGAGATCACCGGGCGAAGTCTTATAAAACCGCACAAGGTGCACCGGAAATCCGTGGACTACACCAGAGATGTGCAACGAATTATGGGAATCATCATCATAGAACTGGTGGGAGTGAAATCCGTAAAATAAAAATAGCACGGTGTAGATTGCGGTTATGGCAACGCCCCAAACAGTGGTCCTCCAGATTGCGGCATGGTGTGACGAGATGTGGCGTTTTTGAATGGCATCCCGATATTTCATTTGTTGATTATATGCCTTCGGAAAGAGCCGCGTTCTTCCTGTTTTCCAATTCTGGCTAACAAACTCAAGGTAATCAATTTTTTTTTGTCCAAAAATGCCAATAATTTTGAAAAGAATGAATACTTATTTTGGATATCTTGGCAAGACATTCATTTCTTGACAAATACAACTACGATTCGATATAGTTATCTGAAGTGGAAACAAAGATGGCGGTTGCTGTGGTTTACCTTGCAAATACTCTTAGAGAGCGCAGGAAGAGCGTACTTGAAACAAACGTTGTCTTAACACAATCAGCAGTGAAGTATGCGGGAAACCAATCGAGTGCGCTCTGCACCAGGCATTTCATTGTTGCACACGGTTCCACTTGACTTGCGGTCTCGGCTACTGATATGAAAATTTTACAAACTAACGATCCATAACATGTAGCAGCGTTTTGTTCTCTGTTAATCGTTTCATTTGATTATTATTAATGACTCGAATCCAGCGCAGAATCTAAACAATTTTGGTAAATTTTCCCGTGGTTGTTACCCAGAGCAGTTCCTCGTAATAAAGTTAATGTGTTGTTTCTTTGTTTCTTCCCACAAAATGCTCGACATATTCATATATCCAGTTTGTTTGGAAATTTATTTAATAACAATGCTCAAAATCATTCAGGCAATCGCATTTTGCACACCGCTCGATATTATGCACGAACACCGTGCCACGAAATTCAAAAAACACCAACTCTTCGGTATTCTAACAGACAGCAGCATGTCGTAACGAAAGGTCAACAATTAGACGGCCTTGTAGACTTTGGAATCCGTTACCAGACCGTTCTGCTTCATGCACTCCAACGCCTCCCGGACCTGGTGTTCCGGGGCACGGACCTTGGCGGCTAATTCGCGTGGTCCAACAAACAGCGTACGGGTACGCAGCAACTCGCCCATTAAATCACCAGCCACCTTTCCCTGCAGCATAAAATCCATAATTAATATTGATAAAAAATGACCTAAAAGTTGCAAGAAAATCCATCAAAAATCAGTTATACTGAGTCCGCTAAAAACTAAAGAACCGGTACCGCATCTCAAAATTTACTAGAAATCCAACGTTACTAGAAATCCAAATTTACTAGAAATCCAACGTTACTAGAAATCCAAATTTACTAGAAATCCAACAAGTGTCATCATACATAATAACTAATAAATATTTGCCTTTGCAATTTTAAACTTCTCACCTTGCATCGAAACTTGGCTTTTTCGACTGGGCTATGATGATGGCCAGGCTGTGCTGATATAGTAGGCAGAATCTGCAAAGTGTCGTTGATAAATAACTGTTTTCTCAAGCATTATAACATCTTTATGAATAATTAAGTACTGTGACAATAAAAAATGTTAAAACTATGTACTTACCACGCCGATCACCACGATTAACAGCAGAAGGGAAGCGCACACAGACACCATGATTACTAAAAACGGATGACCTTTTCGTGTCGAAAAAAGTAATATTTTCTCGCAAAAGATTTTGACGTGCAATAATGTCAGGCGTTAGTGAACTGCGTGAAGTAAGTGCTAAGTGCAGTAAGCTTTTATAGTTTGACTTTTCCGTGCAAGACATCGTATCCGGTATTATGGCGAAGTTGACCGGATGGAAGATAGCGCAAGCAGCTGTGCATCCTTTAGTCCGTTTTGTTGTCAGCACCCAGGTAACTGTAAAGCAAGCTGCACAGATACTACGCAGTAATAGTAACAATAGAAAGTTTTGTGTTATGCAACGACGTTTTACTGCATTCAAGTTCAGTTTTGCAAAAAATTGTTCAAATAGGAATGATTAAAAATGTCCGACTCAGTTTCCGCCTTTTGCCATACGATAAAATTAATGCGTTACGCACATTTCGTGGATCTTTTTGAACCAATCGTTCAAATGACATGAAATCCGGAATCTGGAGACCTGGACAAGAAGTTTTTTTGTCCACAGAAGCTGGGTCATGAGTGCCTGAGGTGAACGTTATGAGAAGAATGAGAATGGACATTATTGTGAACAGTGGTAATTATACGTCAAGAGAAGTCGGAAAACGGAAAATGAAAGATTTGGCTGGACTTCAAGTTGAAACACCTTATAAAACTTTAAAACGCTGCTTCAGTTTTCGGGTTGTTTCAAATTAATATACAGAGCAGCAGACATAGAACATAATTATTATGAGCGGTTTTTGGGCATTGCGTGAGTCAACTACTTTGGACGCTTGTATTTGTTGAGTATTACTGCCATTGTATAATCTAGGAAGACCACAGAAGAAGAATTTCCAACAATGCGAAAGGATGAATTAAAAACTTATTAGAATAAGGAATTAAAAATTCGTTCGAATAAAAACTAAAAAAAATTGGTTGGGGACAGGACACTGTTTTGCAACAGTGCACAATTTTTCGCGGAGTACTGAATGAGGTATGTTCAGCATGCACGGATGTAGTATAGAACGGAATAATATGGCGGCATATTATTGTGAGGCTGGCTGCCTCCGGCAGCCGTCGTATGGCTCCATCCAATATAGTTTCCGGTTTGGTTGGTTGATTCCCAGTCTGCATTATTAATATCGTAATATATTTTTGGGTGTTTTTTATTGAACGTGAGAAAGAAACCATCACATTCAACTCCATGGATATGCTTTGGCATCTCCGCTTGTGTCAGTGAATGCTGTTTTTCCCCGCCCGTACTGCCGAGTGGATATTCCGATGTATCAGGACCCAGAAGGAATTTTCCTGCAAGGTTTGGAAGTCGCTGATCAGAGAATATCCGAGCCAGCTGCGGATACGAAAGAGAACTGAAATACTGTCCGTCGCACTTTAACCAACACGATGGTAAAACGTGGCCAGTTGGAAATGCGACAATCGTCCCAATCGGAAGGATGTTGAGCTGTTGAATTTGCAGTGCCAAAGTCGCATCGTTTGCTTTCAAGCTCACCAGATCTTCTTTGACGACCTGCAGGTCACTGCGCAGCATGCTGATCTTGTTAGTTGTTTCGGCAACTGTCGAATCCGCACCTAGGGCTGTAGTAATTTTTAATTCCAACTCAGTATCTCTCCGTAACAGATTGTGAACTTGTTCGGTTACATTATTTTTTAAAACCGACACTTTTTCCGCAAGAGTATTGAAATCCGACAGGAACCGACTGGTCACGGTATTGAATACGCTGATGTTAACAATGCCGCTACACGTCGTACTCAGAGCGTTGAACTTCTGCACAACTGAGCTCCAATTTCTGTGCGCATCCATTGCTAAACTTTCCATTTGTTGTTGCAGCACGGTAAAATTGGCAGCAGCCAGATCTTCCGCACTTTCGCTGCTGGTTACCTGTACACGAGGGGCTTCTGCAGAGGCGGCGTTCAAATTCGTTAAAGCACTGTAGTCAGCATGGCTGTTGCTAATTCGCACCGTGACCTTTCCGATGGCCTCCCTGCTACGCAAAGCGGTTATATTTATGCAGTGCACAGCCATCGGTTTAACAATGAAGGCTTCTCCATTCCACTTAATAACATCTTCTGATTCGCGGATGTCTTTCATCACAGCGATGAAAGCTTGTGTTTCATAGGAAGTAGGAAAAGTGAAGCTGCTGTTGCCATCCGTCAGACTGCCGCTCATCAGCAGCTGCAACCATTTCCGGTTGTTGGAAAATAATTCGGTAAAAGTAGCCGCCTTGCGATCCGGTCGCTCATTTTCCACACGCCAGAAGACCTCGTTCCAACCATCAGCTAAATGCGCGGTTGAAGTGACTTTGGGCCGTAATAATCCGGAAATGCGGGCATGACCTTTCTGCACCTGATCCTCTTCCAGGAATTCGTCGGCATTTAATTCGCTCTCAAAAACAACATCCATTAAGTCATAACCCAGATCGGTAAAATCCTCAAATTTCATGCAGACAGAATTACGATTTCCGTCACGAGATTCGATAGTTGTGAAGGTAGGGGTAAGCAAGATATGGTTAAATGTGACGTCTACTACTGTTTTGCGGTAAGAAATGCTGTTGCGTGTTGAAAAATGCATCATCAGATCGGAAGCAAAATGTTCGTCGTGTTTAATTTGCCGAGCAATGCGAGTGCACTGCTTCTCCGATGTGCAACGAATTCTGCCGGATGCAATTGCTGGATGTGTGCTTAGCGGTATCCACTGCTCTGCTAAACGGAATTTATGATGACCCAATAACTGGAAACGGACGTAGCCGAATGGGACAGGAAGAACCTCCACGGACATGTTGCCGGTTTTTCGCAACACAAAATCTCGTACGTGGCTTTCCACATCAGTGTCCCAGAGCTTTACCTTGAAGATAACTGAATACGGCGATGAATTACTGTCCAGGTGAACCGTTGTCGAGGTGGGCAGCAGGGTACAAACTGGAGCGTAGTAGTGGACTGTGTCGTGCAGCGCTAACCTCTCTGTAGATTGCAATTCGAATGCCTTGATATGGAAGCGTATAGAAAGGCTGCGAGGACATGTTCAGTCGACCTGTGTAACATGTCAGCATGAAACCCATCTATATGTACAGTACATTCCTTTTCAGTCTTAAAGTTTTCCGACAAAATGAACGACAATCGTTCCGACGCACATTCGCAGCATTACGTTACTGAACAAAACTGTAAAACCTTCTCTGTTAGGAAACTGGTATTTTAGTTTGTTTGCGCGGTTTGGTTTAACAGGAACACAATTAAATACCCATTACCGACATACACAGCAGGTCAGTTTTTAGTTTACATGAAAGACAGCGATGACCGGGTTCACTACTACATTTTAATGCCCACTGAACTATACCAATTACCTTCCTAACTTTATCCCTTCAGCATTCTTGAAGACTTACCATGAACGTTGACGAGAAACACTGCAATCAACTGTTGCAGTACTACTGTCCACTTGGACTGCATGTTGTTCCTAAAACGAATTACTTATGTCAGTGCAAGCTTCCGGGTTACGGTACATAGGCAGTCTTCCTAAATCCTCCAAGTGGGAATTGGAATTTATAATCATTTAGTCATTGTCGTTCACAGTTGAAAATATCTACTACTGAATAATCAGCATGCGCAGTTAGCCACAATTCACAAATAAAGTGAACTGCACAAACCATATGTTCGCTCGCCCACAGAAGAAAGTAGCCGACTACGTTTGTTATGTACTCGATCAACATTATTATCTCTAAATGAATCTATGCTAGAAAACGGAAATGTCGTCACCAGCATTTAGATGATCTAGTATTGGCCATGTTAAAGTGATTGCCTTGTGTGATATCAGTGCACCGAGAACAAGGGAAGCGAAGTTTGGTCATATCTAAAAAAAAGCTGACATAGCACTTTTCCGCGGCGTCAAACCCGATTGTACGAGTACACAATGAGTAATTAATTTTAACTGAATAGAAAATTATTTTGGCTCGTTTAATGTATTACATAGTGACTACTGAAAGTTCCATTCGTTGTCACAGTTTTAAACAGGTAAAACAATTCTGTTCGTAACAACATCCTACGTTATACGCTTAAACGCAATAAAACGTGAGTTGTGATAGAAACTTTCATATACTGTATTTAAAGCGACTTCATTTCATTTCGAGACATCTGCACGATGCTAGCCGTTTTATTAGCGTTTTACGAGTTTGGAAGTGGATAAAAGAATTATGCACATTCATAAGTTATCTATTCTGTACAGTCTATTAGCATAAACAGAAAAAAAACTGTCATTCAGAAAATTGGACATTGTTAGCATTGGACGTTTATGCCGCATGCGCGTTACGAGGGACTTGCACATTGTCGTTGGCTGCTTGGAATGCGACATCCCGTCCGTACTCATGCTTCTCCTTGGCAAGACCGTCTTTGACCAGGCATTCCAACGCAGTTGTGACGGCTCTATCGGAATGTCTGACCTTTTTCGCCAGTTCTTTAGCGTTGAATGACTGCTTAGCGTGTCGGAGTAGTTCATCCAGCGATTTCTCGGCGACCTCACCCTAAAACAATAAAATGCGTCACTGCAGGTACTGGTTATTGGGCTAACGTGTCATCCGCGATGAAGATGAGAGAAGCTTACCTTGCAGTCGTGCTTGGCTTTTTCCAGCAGCTGCGCGAATGTCTCCTTGCCTTTGGAATTCGGGCGTTTCGTAGTGGTTCTTCCGGCAGTCGATCCGCTTTGTATGACCTAAAACGTTAATAAAATCAGTGGGTTAATCTTAACACCGCTATGCCGTTATGTGGACGTTAAGGGTAATCGGTATGGAATAGCATTCATTTCAGCATTATGCTTGTATACACAGTAATACACTCACCAAAACAGCCGCGACAGCCAAAAGCATCAGAGTTGGGCGCAAGAAAGACATGATTTAGTGCAAAGAATTTGTGACCTTTTTAGATTAGAGAAGCTCAAAAGTAAGCGCTGAAGAAAAGTGATTCGAATTGTGATAATAATTATGTTAGATTGGGCAAGTTTATATACATCTAAGCATCGGGTGACATTAATTGCTGCAGGCTGTGTTGTCGTCTTATTAGCGGAAGCTTCATTGACTGGCTCGTTCTGAATGATGCACCGGTGCACGCTACAGCGATGCTAAAAAACAAACATGTTACTCAAAGCAGTTGCAACATTTCGTTTAAAAAAGTCGTGTCATTCAAAACAAACCGCGTCGTAGTAAATCTGCCTTCGATGAACAGGTTGTGTACCCGCTAAGCAACCGGTCAACATGTTTTCGGTAACAAACTGCCAACACTCTTTTAATGTAGTAACTGCGGGACTTTGAGATGAGTCAGAGACTCAGAGTATCTGTCTGTCATCGTAAATTAACGAAAAAATCATTACGTACGTAGTGAATAACAGTAAATATCGGTGTTACCGCTAAATTTGCGACCACAACAGCTATCACAGCGTTCATTTCGACCTCTTCCTTGGAACTGTATGCAGGATGAGCGTCTCATAATCACTCTTATTATGGTACTGTATGGGTGTATGATGTTTAAACTGTGGTTCAATCTTGCAATGAATTATTGGATAACCTAGTTGTAGCGGTCGGTTTTACGTAAGTGCTTGCGGTGAAATAGGTACATCAAAACTTCACAGTCATTCGGGAAAAGTACATGTACAACCTACAGTGGACTTCATAAATGTGGTTACACTTAAAGCCGATAGCGCTATGCATACGGGTGGCTATGTGTAACCACATTTATGAAGTCCACTGTACATGACATACATGTATGTAAAAACGTGTGGCTTTTCGTCACACAGTACAATGCATTTCGTACAGGAAAATAATATTATGTGGATTACTGCGTACAACGAAGATAATGATGTACAAGTATAAGATGTAATAATTAAAAACTGTCGGTACGACAGTTCTTCTGCGATAGAGAAAAGCGTTGAAAACAATGGATACTGTTGTAGCATCACCAATTTGGCTGGAAAAAAAATAATCCAAAAGAAAAAATTCAATTCTGAAAATACATAAAATCGACCCCTATCTGTACAAAAAGTGTGATTTTATTAGCAAATTACATCTGTAATACATTCGCTGATTTGCAGAATATAATAAATTTTCTGTGTTTATAAATGTTTGACCAAGACGAATGCATTCGCACTTGTACAAGGCTGGTGGTGTACGCATCGTGGCACTGTAATCCGGATCCAAAATCTGCCCAAACCCGATAGTGCGTGAACTATTCAAGCGTTTTTTATCAATTAATCAAGTTTATTCATAAAATAGTAAACATAAATTCGAAGGGCGTCAGTCATTGTTTTGCATCAAAGCCGGTTTAAATTTCGAAGAAAAGCATTTATGAATACTGACGCACGACTCAGCTGTTTTCCAAGCAGTTCTATCCGACAAGCAATAATTTCGTGGTTCTTTCTAATAACCTAAGCAGGTTCGGTGCATTATTTTCCGAATGGTTTTTTCACAATAAAAACATCCTGTTTTTTCACATAAAATTAATCATGATTACATTAATATTGACCTGCGCGGCTGTTGTTGTATTGATGTATTGCAGCTTGTATATTTCACCTTTAATTATGACTCACTGTTTTGTTGCTGTTTTGTGGTTTTATCAAAATAATACGACGTACAAGCGTTCGTCTGCCATGTTTTTTTTGTCTACGCGTAAGTCTCTCGCAATTGTTTTTTCTGTGCGAATAATATTATCGTGGGAATCATTATTTTATGAATGAGTATACGCGAACACTAAACACCCGCCCAGGTGGTTAAGATAAACCAAGAGAACGGAAGTTCCAAGTAATACAATGACAAAATACACACGACCACTATGCTGCCTGAGGACATACAACAAATTGCGTTCCATGTATAAATAACCGGCATCTCGGTGCACGATACACACACCATTTATCAATCTTGGCTCTGGATAAAACTTTTAATTTTCTCTATAATTACAACTTTTCTTAAAGGAAACGCAGTCATACAGTCTTTACCATGGCCTCCTTACATTTCTCACTCTTTTTCCTGGTCGTTGTGATTGGCGTGGTAATTATCATCAATAATTATTATCATCGAGTTTGTCTCGAGATATTGCACTTAACAAGATAAATTTTGAATTATTATTGCTGCAGTTGATACATAATGGACTTGTTGCTGGCCAAATCACACCTAGAACCACCGCAAGGACCACGGCTAGAACCACCGGTAACCCGGCCGATACCCAGTTAATCGAGAAGGCCAAACGTGACTGCAAGGTAATATTTACTGCAAGGCACAGTGAAAACTAAAAGGTATTCGTTTATCTTCCGCTTTATACAATTAACGGCTACTGACAGAGAAAAAAAATCGAAATCGTAGCCTGTTTACAAAGTATTATATAAACGGGTTAGTATTACGCAAACAGTTTATTTCAGTACTTTCGACACCCAGGTTACAGTGTCCTTACAAATGCTTTCAGGGAGATATGGCAGCTCAAGCCGTAACGGAACTGCTGAAACGCACCGAACAGACACTGGCCCAACTGCATAAAGTCCTCCGAAAAACCGGCTCCGAACATCAACTCCGCAAATCGCTGGACTGCTTGGAACGGAATGGTCTTGTCGCAACGTCCCGCGTCCGCGGCAAGAAAGTGTACAATGTTGTCCGCAAGAACACGTATTAGCGTTTTCCTGATATCCCCCAACAGAACTTCGAACAAATCTGTTTATTTAACCTGTTTATGGAATTCGCATTCTGTATAGTAACCAAATTATAAAGGATACGTTTAACCTATTTATTTAATGTTTATGTCTAAGTTTTATTAAACTGTCGCTCTGCACAGTATATCAGGTTGCTACATACGAACAAAAAAGAATAAAATAATGTTACAATTTATTGGTGACGCATAATTTTACGGGTACGGTCTCCATGGTTTCTACGTATTGTACATGTTATTGTACATGTTTTTTAACAGTTACAACTTACGAGCACGCGGACAGACAAGCAAAGTTTTGGAAGTTTCCCATTTCACAATTTACTGCATCACACCATTGACAAGAATGGACACTAAAACTCAACTGACAAAAAAGGTCAACTAGCCCCAGAAATTGAGATTGACCGGATACGCTAAATTTATGCTTATAAATAATATTAGGTACAACCGATTGCATTTCACAAACGACCGGAATTTAATTCAGCCTTTAAAATATTTATCGAGTATCTTCAGCACACGGAGCTCCAACAGCTGATCTTTTATGACCGTCGCCGGTGTTGTCGGAAACCGGTATACTTTCCAGCCTTCTTGATGAATGAAGTGTAGCATCTCCCAGAACGTGGAATTAACCGCCCTTGAGAAGGTGTTAGCGTATGTATCATTGCACTTGTGATAGTACGAATGCCATGCCGGGATTTCTTTGTATCGGATTGGACCGTTATACTGGAATGTATGGTTGGCCATCGTGTTGTCCACATAGATGTCTTTCTGATATTCCGAGCTGTTTGAATAAATCGCCCAGGGAGTGTGGCCGCTGTTATACAACCAGTCCGGCTTATAGTCGTATTCGTAGTGCATTAGGATATCGCGGATATAAGGGTGACCTTTCCGGCAAGCAATGAATCCACTGTTCATGAACTTGTTTTCTTCGGCTAAAAGGCATCCGTATTTCCCTTCTCGCCAGTCTTTAATGAGGGCTGCAGAAACGTGGCAGCGCTTTTGTCATTTATTCATTTTTAGTTTAGCTTATAAATGTTTTAAAAAAGAAAGAAGGGAAGAACTCACCATTATTGATGCAAATTTAATTTAGGCATGTAATATTATAAGCGATAAATATATTTGATAAATCCTTAAATAGTTTTATGTATGTTTTTCATGATATTTTTTAAATAAATATTTGTTTTTTTTGTGTTTTTGCATGACTGAATATGTCTTGTGGATTAAGATACAGATAGCAGACAAACACGAGAAAAAAAGAAGACTAGAAAAGTATTAATGGTTGCATATTCTGTTGGATTAATTATCGGTTAATTGTTATTGTTATAATGAGGAAAGTACAAGTGAAAACCTTACAAGTGTCTCTTAACTTCCTACTTAAAACTTACGTCGAATACTTGGAAGGTAAAAAATGTCCGTATCGGTTGAGATTCCTCCATACTTGTATACTGCGCTATACTTATTCAAATCGGCTTCGTGATGAAGTGCATCAATTCGTTTTCCGTTAAGCGTAAAGCGTTGGCGGATGCCGACAATTTGTATGGATGTAAAGTTAACGATCATGTAACAGGAACGTAACGGCCAGAAATCAGGGTAGTTGGTATGGATATAAATTTTACTTGGCTGGACGTAGAGCATAACTGAGAGAAGACTCATACATTCCGTCCAGCAGAAACCTTGCGATGTAGCGGTGGGCGGTTCCTTGTAGAACCGCACAATATGCACAGGAAATAAAGGACCATCTTCAGGTACAATAAATTCTGCTTTGCCGTTAAAAATGGGAGCGCTCCACAATTCGGCCAATTTTCCGGCTTCCGATTTCAAGGATCGTGAAACCACTGCATACAGTACTGTTAACGCCGCACCCAAAATGCACAGCTTTAAAATCAAGCCGCGATGAAGCATGACTTTTTCAGTTTATTTGCACAAACTTTTATTAATGAATTCCACGCTTATCGTTTTGTCAAAAACAGGAGTAACATAAAAGATCAAAATGCAGATGAGGTAATGATTTGTGAATCAGTAAGTGCTTCATGAAACTGCGGCATGTTAACGATAAAGCTGTCGGATGCTGGAGCTAGTTTAATCGCCCTCTCTGTGATCAATCTCATGTTTAAGATAAATCCGCGCTGTTCAGTCGGCGATGTTTGGCGTAGACAGAACAATTAAATGTTTGCAATGCACTCGAAAAGCACTAACTAGCAGCGCTATAGCCTGTAGCTAATGTGAACCCCAATCCCTTGTAAAAGAAAACACCGGCAACCGCAGTTATCGTGACAATGGTGTCTACTTTCGTTGTGTGTGCGATTGATTTCCGGTCAACCGCTACTTTAAATCCACTACGAGCATGTCATCCCTGCACTCTGTAGAAACTGCGTTTCTTAAACTTTGCAATTTTTTTATAGAAGTCCTACGATTATTCTCTAAGTTCCAGTCATAACAAATTACGCTAGCTAAATTAACCACAGTTAAAGTTGATAATTCTTCAAAGCAGCAGTACGAACAGATTATAGTAAGCGCATTACACAGATGTTCTTAAAAAAGTATTCGTAGCAGTGATTATGCCATCTACAGAAAAAAATGGCGGCTTTGAGGAAAAATAAGATACAAGTACTGTACTCGTGTAATACACATCAAGAATGTAGAGGTATGTACGTGTAAACACATGTAATAATAAACAGTAAGTAAAGCTTATTTTTTTTTTGGCTACGCGTACATATTAACTGTTGAATGCCAGTGAACAAAAATTATGCCTTCGAAAAGTAGTTTATTTTCTTCTATCAAACCGGTACAAAACCTAAAAAATGAAAGTACGATACGATGCTGCTTTTCCGAATGTAAATTTAAACATATGTACCGGTACAGACAGAATCGACAGTTAATCTGACTAAGTCAAAATCAGCCTCACTAGGTACAGGTAAAGTTACCGTTATCCGACGATAACACCCGCTCAGGTAAAAGAAATAACATGAAAGTGAATTTAATGGGACGATAATCATAAGCAGAGTAAAACATTCCATCGCGTCAGGTAGTACAGTTGTGAACCCCAATCGTCTTGATTGACCCGAATGCCGGGCACACGGTCTCAAAGACCGTATGCATTACCAATCCACGGATAATTTTTCGGACATTCCCGACATGTTTTAAAGGGACGGATCTCTTTGTTTTTTTCGAACCAGGGCGTGCACGTGTTAGGCTTCGTACAAGGCTGGACTTTTGGTGTGTCGGTACACTGCCACGGTTTGAAGGTTTTGATATCGCGGTAAGTAGTCGGTTTTTTCATCCATTGTATCGCTTGGCTCATTGTGACGAAATAAACATTACGATACTTCGCCTGGTCTGTCTTATCTAAGACTGTATCCAGAAAATCGTAAAACGCTCGCTGATTCATTTCTTTAGCAAACCAGGCTGCACTGGTGAAAATGTTGAAGGGCGCGCGATTGGTGGTGTAGTGTCGCTCAAAGTTAGATATCAGGAGTTCGTACACTTCTTGTTGATTCTCCGGATCAGTGCACTGGTCCACCATATTGCATCGGTCTCCCGACCGATCATTCCACATCACGAGGGGCATCTCCCAGATGCCGGGAAAAGAGCCATTAGGGCATGTATCGATCATACAGTCATTGTTGATGCGATAGTCCAGTGTAAAGGAGAAAAATGGTGGTTCGTTTTCAGAAACCGGCATAGAGGAGTCATAGAGGAATCCGTTATTGCTCAGCATCTGGAACTGATTGTCGCCACCGATGGACAGGTACGGAGCGCGCATGCCCACAATCTCCGTCACAGGAATTTTGGCAAATTCGTTTAGTACCTTGCGCTGACTTAGGACTTCGTCTTCCCAAGAGTTTATTGACCGATTGCGGTTGAACTGCAATCTAAACAGATCACGATTATGTACAGATGCTGTCATATGGTAGTGCATAATAGACGCTATAATATTATATACATCTATTCTACTAGTAATTATTTTATAGCAGCAGATAATTTTGATAGAGGACAGATGCCTATCCGTACATACGTTAAAGTAACAGAAGAAGCGTGTCTCTGTGTTCTTTAAGTTGCTATTCACGTGGTTAATTTTATTTGGTTCACATAAAACTTTTTTAGTTCACATAAAATAACCACGAATATAACTGCGCGGTAGTCAACTACTCTAAAACATCCACTCCACAACGTTTCTAGAGAGAATGCAGAGTTAATTAGGCATTATAACAAACGTTAGCTGACAAAAAGCGCGAACAGCTAAAACCTTGTAATTTCATCTTTATTCTTATAAGCGGACAGTGAAGGTACATAAAGTTAGTTTTGTACATTTAGTGAAAGTTAATTTTAATCACGTGAAGCAAGCACGTGAATCCAGAGTAAAGGGACTACTCGGGTGTGTAACAACAAAACACAACAAAACGGAAATTAATCATTGCCACTGAATTCACAAAACTGGAAGTTGAAATCTTGATTTTATTAAAATTGTATTAAGCGTAATTATTCAGAAAAATTTTTATAATAGTGTTATAAAATTCATTATGTATATACGTAGATCGTAGATACAAAACTTTTATCGTGCAAAAGTTCTATGTACGGTATGTCGGACAACTGCAGTTATGCGCAAGAGATTCGATGTCCGTGCCATCATCAATCCCGTTTAAGGATGGATGATGGTACATCGAACGCCTTGCCTGTAATTGGACAAATCTCACCAAGAACCCATCTAGAGTTCTTGATTTCACTTACGATATTCCGGAGACTGCGATCTCGTGACCTTGATTCGCCAGATTCTGGACATGGGAGTAATCCGTCCACTCGTGGGACACGAAGTATGTCGCTCGGATGGGACAGTTATTTGGATTTTTCCTTGTGTCCTTAAACGTGTTCTCATATATATTCATTGCCGCATCAGTGACGGCACCTTCGAAGGTAAGCAGGATCATCTGAGGAATGTCATCGGGATCCATGACGTTGGGAGGATCGGCGGAACCACACCGGCAATTGGGTAATTGGCAACTTGACGGGATACACGGTTGTGCCGGGCTTACTTCCAGTTTAGGCTTTTCTGTAGTGCAGTTGGGTTAAATCGACAAAAAAGAAAAAAATGTTCAGTAAGCCTTAACTGCATATAATAGTCGATTAAATTAAGAGTGCTTTAATCATACTAACGAGTTTGAGCAAATATTTCAGTTATTCGTGGGTCGTCCAAGGGATACAGGAGCATGCCCGGTGTCGTGGGAACCTCGGGTGTACCCGGCGGCGGATGATCTTCACCATCACGGTACGCATAACCTGGATAGAAGAGAACGGTTAATGGTAGCTGCATAATGGTTAATTTGTAGCTGTTAGGCGGTTTAGCGCATTCTGTTTGTAAAGAGCGATTACAAAAACATACGAGTAATACATATACATACTACTCGTAGAGCAGGACAACAATTGCAACAGGGTAGGGTCATCATCGTTTTAATCTCGCCGATTTAAAGGGTCTCGATATGTGTAACTGTCGCTTAATTGGGATCTGTTAAATGACTGCAAGTGCATACAAAAATTCATGGAAATTATAGCTAATTTTTTTATAATTGACTTAACGAAGAAGAGTGTAAGCCTGGGTAGGCGCGCTCACCGTTATACTTGGCGCATTTAACGTTATCCTTCCAGTCGCAATTTCCTAACCGAGTGGAAAACTGTAATCCGTCGGGACAATCTTGTGGAGAAGCAATTCCAAAATTACAGATATAGTATTTCGTACACTCCACTTTGTCGGGAAAGTAGCCAAATCGCGATGGGCAATCGAAAGCACTAATTTGTCCAAGACCGATTAGCGACATCAAAGGTATAGAAATAAGTAAAAGATTGATTTTGGCTAGCATTGTAAGAGCCGAGACAGAAATTTAGAACAACGGAAACATTTGAAAGTCGTAAACGGCAACAGAAGTTTAGAAAACACCTTACCGACACTTGATCGATTTTCAATACCGTAACACACGCTATATATATGCTCATTACTGCTGTTTCATCGATTTCAAATTTTCTTCGTTTTAGTGATCCCAGTTTCGGCGAGGTTCAGAATTCTGAGAGGGAATTCCGCGAGGGTCGACATTTTTCGATGCGAACATCGAGCCGCCCTACCCGTTGAGACGAGAAAATTCAAGTAATACACCCTGGGAAACCCTTAACATTCTGCTGACACTGGGGCCTTTCCGAGTCTGCCACGAAGTATCTCCAAAAGCCCATTTTTCCTTCCAATGTGATTTTAGAAGCAGTGTAATAATGCGCATGTGCTTGCATTGTGTACTAATACATTTGCGTTTGTGTGATCCACTGTACTTACGGTCTGTCTCTCCCAATTAATATTGGATTGGGTTGTGATAACTTAAGCAGTCGACAAATCTTGTCTAGGCTTGCTCCAGTGATTCCCTATACACCTATGCGCAAAAGTCATTTCGAGCTATAACGGATACAAAATATAACGAACTTCTTGCGTAAAATGCTACAGTTGCCACACACTACTCTACAGTTTTAGTTTTTCACCTTTACAGGAGTCAAAATCAAAGTACATTATTACGTTTGTTACTGCAAAAGCCTGTTCAATCCCAATTAAAGCCGTTACTGTACAACTCAACCCGATACCAAATAAGATCAGCAGTCGTCCAAATTGTACAACTTTCGAAACGAACCACACTTTTGCCGAAGCGCAAGCATCGTCAAAACAGGGAAGACCACGGTAGCTTGGGACTCCCGCTCACTCATGCCGGAAAGGACATCCTTAATAGCCGGTCCCACACTAGTCATGCGTTTTTGTGCTAAATACGTAATAATCTTCGTTTATTTTTCTTTTCTCATTGGCTAAACATGTAATATACATATTGGAAATATGTGTATATATATATATATATGTAATATAATGCTTCAATTTAGCAACACGAGTTTGTCGGTCTGCTTTCGGTTTATCTAAATTGGAGTGAATCTTGAGTGCAAAAAAGACCTCGAACAAAAAGTAATCTGACTATCTTTCCGATAACATTGCCGATAATGCAGTACTATTATAGTACAGTAGTCACAAAGTAACAGGGAGATGTCGAATTTGCAACAGGAAAACGTACGTGCAATCTGTCCACAGCTGGCTCATGCGCTCTCTATCAAGTCACATGTAAGTCACTCAAACCATGTGACATGGTTTGAGTGGATTTCTCGTACCGAGTATACCACGGCGCGCATAATAAGATTGCTTGTCATCAGTTTACGCAGTCCTGTTATCATGTTTTGAAAACACTCGTGGCAGACTATGAAATGCGACGGAGTGTCAGCAGAATGTTAAGGGTGTCCCAGGGTGAATTACCGGAACTATCTCGTCTCAGCGGGTAGGACGGCTGGACGTTTGCAGCGAAAAATGTCGACCCTCGCGGAATTTCCTAATTTCACCGAATCTCGGATCACTGAAACGACGAAAACTTTAAAGTCGATGAAACAGCAGTAGTGATGCATATCAAATGCTACGGTTTCGAAATTTTTAAGAGGTACTACGAGTACTAGCAAAGTTTATTATTAAACTTTTATTCCAGTTACGTCTGTTAAGTCTCTGGTTTGCTATAATACAATGTATTTGTGGGACGGCTCTTAGCATGCCCGACAAACAAAGCCGGTGCCAAATACACCGGTCGCCGGCGGTGACCGGTGTATTTGACACCGCCATTGGCAGTCGACTGTCCTAAATTAACAACGGTTAAATCAGTAATTTCTGTTTTATATACCTAATAGGTAAACAGCAACCAACTAAAACAAAAACGTGCTCCGTGTAGTGTTGTCGTAAGTACGTAAAAAGACTTCAACAGAAGAGTATTCCAGTGGTCAGTGCACCCAGTGCTCCGTGCACTGACTACTGATAAGCAAAAATAGAAAATACAGAGAGCGGTTTTGTATGTTTTAGTAACTGCTACGTACGAGTATATCGGTATATGTGAAAATAAAAAAATTAAATGGTATGGGCAACCATATTTTCACTTTCTAGAAAGTAAATTCTTTAGTTTAAGAAATAACTGTGAAATAAACCTTCAGCGACTCACAATCCGCCTGTCAGTGTTGTAAGAATCCCGAAGAAAATCGCTGGTAGCTTAAAAGCCAATCGATGGCCAAAAATCATGAGTCCTTACCGTTGCAATTTTAATATACAAAGAACCCTCGAACTGCTTCAAATCTGGGATCGCTTCGCTCGATTAGAAATGTGGGTTCGTTTCGCTTGGTGAAAACCCATTAACCAGTTTCCCAAATTGCAGCCCAAGGGCAAATCGACAAAGCCATATCACGATCAATGATTCAGCAAGCACCAACGTTTTCTTCGCATTCAATGCAGATACCTCCGGTATTCATGCATTACTGATGATATTGCGATGCGGTACTGTACACTATCGAAAATGAGACGCTGGTTTATAATGTTTTGGTTCATCTCCAACATGGACGGTAAGACATGCAACGGCAGAATTTTTATTTTATAATATGTGAGACGTTCCCTATTATAGCATAACTTAAGAGAAATTCGTTTTAGTACGAGTAAAAACTATCACCCTCCAGAAATTATGCATAACTATCCATTTAATTATATGGAAATTTTCCTAGGTGGGCTGGCTGACGGAGATTGCAGCCTTAAAAATTCAACGGTAATACACGATGCAGTTTCTCCAGCCGCAGAATATCCTTTTCGGACAGACTTACTTACCGTTGAAGAATGCAGTCTGTATTTGAAATATTTACTGCAGAGATCGATATGTACAGATGTGATGGATTTCAGTAATTGGTGTAACGTAAATGCTGAAAATCCCCGCAAGGCTGGCATGCTGCACACGTACTGGGAGGTGACTTGCTTTTACCGGTCGCACGCTCTGGTAGCTAATACCACCAAGCATGTGCGGAAAATCAGTCCGCAGCGCGCCGTCCTGTTGCATTTGTTTGAGTGGGAGGCAGAGCAGGATCCGGTTACCATTGATATAGTGGAACCCATTCGTAATCAAACCATACACCTTGCCGTGAACAATTGTCGGGCGCCGAATGCGACCGCCAAAGTGCACGCACTTGGTCTTTTACCGAATGTATACAGTTTCGCTCTCGGATATTGTCCTAACGTGACGATCCAGAAGAAACATTTCGGCGGAATGCCCCAACTACGGATGATCGCGTTCTATGAAAGCACAATCAGCGCGCTGGAGCCGGGAACCTTTACCGATTTGATTCATTTGCGCAGTCTGACACTGGAGAGCTATATCATCAGGACGTTATTGAATCAATATATTCCCGAACCAGCTTACCGTAGATTTACAACCGACGACTACCTCCATTATTTGTACGATGTACACTGCGACTGCTCGTATGCCTGGTTGCGCAGCTTTCTGAAGCAGAGACCGTACTTGATAGAGAAAAAGAATCTAGGTGAAGTGTTCATAATCGGAAACTATTTATCACCAGCTGTTGAAAGAAGTGGAAATAAGACAGATGTCTTCAGCATAGATTGTTCCAAGAACGTGACCTTGGACAATATTTGGACAGGCAGTGAATTTTCCTACAAAGCCGCATGCTCTAATGAGAACTGCTGATTTATTATTTTAATTTTGCATTTCCTTGATTTCAGTTTTTGAGATACGTATACGCGCTGGATGACGGGCGCTTATTAGCGATGGTTTACAACGCAGCTTCATATCAAACCGCTCAGTAAAAGTAATGAGTTTCAGTAAAACATGCTTAAATCTGCATATAAAGGAAAACAATTAAAAAAACGATTAAGCAGTGCAGATTTGACACAAATCCTAAACCTGACGTGAACTTATTTAGTAATAGATAAATACAACTTCCGGTAAACGGCTGATTTTACTCTGCTATGATTCTGATCGATGGAAGACATAACGGATTTTCCGAATTTTCCGCCAATAGTCCATTACATCAAGACACCTTCCCAGATGGTAACGTATAAACTGTTAATAAACTGTCATACTCCATATCGACAATCCCAGCTGTTGCGCTTATCTCATGCCATACGACTGGCTTCGTTGTGTGCATCACTGCATTCTTGGCGCTAAATTATCTGGTTGCCCACGTCTGACGCCCGTTTCCGGTGGTCTTGCTTGATACCTGTTATTTTCAGCTACAGGTCAAATTTACCAAACCAAACCCATATGGTTCTGACCGCTCAGACTTTTTCTTTCTGCTAGAACCACCAAATGTTCAAACGATCAAGTTACGACCAAAAGTTTCGGCTTCGACCAAATTTTTTCGTAGACGTCTATCCTGTTTTTCGGAGCAGCTAGGCTCCGCCCTTCAGGGTTTTACGGTCAGTAGCAGGCTTATAAAGCTACGCCAGTACACTGCACTACAGTAGAGCGGCACTGGATAAACATACGTAACAATAAGTACGAGTACGTACAGATATGTATAGTACGTAGACATGCGCAAAAGTTTGTACATAATATAGATGCTTAATACTTTTTTGGCTACGCGTATTATAATTTTTGGAAGCCAATTATGAAATTATGTCATTGAGAAAAAATAGTTTTATTTCCTTCTGTCTTACTAGTACTGGTTCAAAACGTAAAAACGAAAACTAAACAAAACGATTCTGCTTTTCAGAAATGTAAGTGCAGATGGAATACCGCTCTCAGTCATGATCAGCTGTACAGTCTGTACAAGGTAAAGTTAACAAGTATTCGACGACGACATCAGAGCTATAAAGGTATAGCACGAAAGTTAAATAAACGGGACGATATCATGAGCGACGTAAAACATGCATGCCATCACATGAGGTAGCACAGTTATATATGACGTGTTAATTGATCAGAATGCCTGACACAACGTCTTAATGACCGTATGCATTACCAACCCATGGATAGTTTTTGGGGCATTTCTGGCATGTTTTCATGGGACGGATCTCTTTGTTCTTCTCGAACCAGGGAGTGCAGGGGTTGGGCTTCCTACAGGGCTGGGTTTTGGGTGTGTCGGTGCACTGCCAGGGCTTAAAGGTTTTGATATCACCGTAATCAGTGGGTGTCTTCATCCACTGTATCGCTTGGCTCATGGTGACGAAGTAAACATTACGATATTGCGCCTGGTCCGTCTGATCCAACACAGTATCCAGGAACTCGCGGAACGCTCGCTGATTTATTTCTTTAGAGAGCCAAGCCTCGCTAGTGAAAATATTAAACGGCGCGCGGTTGTTGGTGTAGTGTCGCTCGAAGTTGGATATCAAGAGTTCGTATACTTCTTGTTGATTCTTTGGATCAGTGCATGTATCCACCGTATTGCATCGGTCTCCTGACCGATCATTCCACATCACGATGGGCATCTCCCAGATGCCCTGGAAAGAGCCACTAGGGCATGGATCCACCATGCAGACGTTGTTAATGCGATAGTCCAGCGTGAATGGAAAAAAAGGTGGTTCGTTTTCAAAGACCGGCATCGATGAGTCATAGACGAATTCGTTATTGCTCAACATCTGGAACTGATTGTCGCCGCCGATGGACAGATAAGGAGCACGCATGCCTCTGATTTCCCTCTCAGGTATGTTGGCAAATTTGCTTAGGATCCTGCGCTGACCTTGGACTTCGTCTTCCCAGGAATTCATTGACCGATTGCCACTATACTTCATCCTAAACAGGTACAGATGATAGTGCGTTTTAAACGTTGTACAACGTACGGTAGATGTTCTATTAACAAGGTATTTTACATCAGCAGCTTATTCGAGAAGAGATACAGAGGAATATGTGCATATCCGTACATAAGTTAAGGTGGCAGAGAAAGCAGTTCTTACTTCTTAGCGTTCTTAGCGTTAAATTGCTTTGCACGTGACTAATTTTATTTTGCCTGTTTTTTTTTTTTGGTTCTGACATAAAATGACCACGACTACCTGCGCGGTAGTTAACCACGTCAGTGCATGCAATCCATAACCTTTTCGGATGCAATGCAGAGGATGCATTGCAATAAACGTCAACTTATAAAAAACGAGACCAGAGCAAGTATTTTCTTTTAACCTTTTCTTACTACGGTAAAAATTCTTTATTCACAAGATGCACAACAGCAAGCACCACTCACTGCATACATTAAATGAAAAATATGTTTCAATTTTCTATTATTAGCGGAAAATTAATGTGCATAAAGTTATTTTGGTACATTTGAAAAAAAATAATTTTAATGAGCAAGCGCAGTTATTTATAGCCACAAAATCCCAACAGCTGTAATAAGGTACGAGTAACACTCTTAATAAAAGTAACTGAAGTAAGTATTTAAAAAACTTTTATACAATTAAAACTTTTATAAGTTATACTAGTTATTTTATAAGTTAAACTTTTATTAAAAAACTTTTATAAGTACGGTATATCGTACAACTGCAATTATGCGTAGGTTGTTCCATGTGCCATCATTAGTCCCGTTCAAGGATGGACGAATACGATGGTTCATCGAACGCCTTGCGTGTAATTGGACAAATTTCACACTTACGATACTCCTAGCACTGCGATTTCGTTTCCTTGATTCGCCAGATTTTGGACATGGGAGTAGTCCGTCCATTCATGGGATACGAAAAACGTCGCTCGGATGGGACAGTTGTTGGGATTTTTTCTCGTGAGCGTATTCTTATACACGTTCATTGCCGAGTCAGTCACGGCACCTTCGAAGGTCAATAGGATCATCTGCGGAATGTCATCGGGATCCATGGCGTTGGGAGTATCGGTGCTACCGCACCGGCAACTGGGGGGTTGGCAGGTGGACTTGGTACACGGTTCTGCCGGGCTTATCTCCAGTTTTGGCTCTTCTGTATTACCTTTGAGCTGGGCTACGTCGACGAGCAAAAAAACAATTCTGATAAGCGGACAATCTTTAGTGCATGTAATGATCGAATACGTTGAGTGTTTATATTGTAGTATCGAGTTTGAGCAAAGACTGAGGAAACGTACATGTGCTGCTTAAAGGAAAGAGGTTGATGTCCAGTGTCGTGGAAACATCGGTTGTTGTACCAGGTGTTAGATAACCTTCACCTTCGCGATACGTATAACCTGAAAAGAGGCGCACATTAATGGTAGCCTCATGATCGTTAATTTCTACGAGTAGCTGTTAACGGGTTCAGCGCATTTGTACTTAGTAAATTCATAGTTTGTACGAGTGCATAGTTTGTACTCGTACCATGATACTTATTAAAGGTTCTTTAATTAGTAAATTCACAAAGATGTCAGAAATATAACTACAGTAACTGTGGAACGTAAGTGTAACTCGCATTGACGCATGGTTGATTATTATCTTTCGCATAGTTATGAAAATTTGATAGCTGCCATTCACGAAAAAAACAATGTTCCTGATTTACCCAAGCAAAAGCTAAACGCATATCGAACATCCTTTTGATAATCTTCTAAAGACAGTCAGTGTACAAGCAGCACAGGCAGCCGCACTCACCATTATGCTGAATGCATTTCACATTTCGCGTCCAATCACAATTTCGTAATCGCAAGGAAAACTGTAATCCATCGGGGCATGTTTGCTGCACGCCATTTCCGAAACTACAGATGTAATATTTCCCACAGTCTGCTGGGTCGACAAAGTAGCCAAATTTGGATTGGCATTTGAATGTTGCACCCGATGATAACTGTGCGCCTGTAAACAAATACAAGTTGACCGAAAGATTTTTTCGAACAGCACACGTGTACGTCGCTACAGCCTACAGCTGATGTAAAACCATAATCAGAACTCACTGCACTGGTGAAAACCGATCTGCAACATCACAGCTATGACAACGGCCGCAGACGGCATTTTAACTGACATTCTGGCAGTTAAAAGGCTTAAACGGCAACCTAAATCAAAGAAGCCTTGCATTGCAGGTACCTGCTTGATTTTTGAAAATCATGGTCCTTTATATGTACTCAGTATTACGGCATTGTCGATTCTAGGGTTTTGTTTTTCGTTTTAAGTGATTCCCCGATTTGATGAAGTTCTCACATTTCTGTGAGAGCTGGCATTTTTTTTGCAAACATCGAGCCGTTCTCCCCTTGAGGCGAGAAAGTTCTAGCAGTCCACCCTGGGAGCTCTTAACATTCCGCTGACACTGGGGCTTTCCGAGTCTGCCACGAAGCTGTATTTTCGGAATCATGATAATAGCACCGTAAACTGGTGACAGAGTATCTCCTTATCGGCGCCGTGGTATATGAGAAAGCCGGGTTCAAACTTCGGACTTCCTGAAAGCGCATTAGTTTTGTGTGTAAAAACCCAAATAAAAATTCATCTAAATTCTTTGCTGAAATAGAGATCAAAAAATAAAACTGTATGAGTAACCTGTGGCCTGTGGCAGTTGCAGTAAACAGATTCAGCGCAAGAATATTCGCTATCCTCTGTACAGTACCAGTGGTGATTCTTGAAATAATATTTGCTGTGCATTTGCTTGACTGAGAAATAGTGGTGCAAGACTGCACGAGACTACTGATACTGCTAAATGCTAATGAATTTCCTACTAAAGCCACTACAACTCAACACAAATAAACTGGCGACTCATATTGGCCAAGACAGACCGTATACAGACTCGTACACAAAGTGTAGCAGTTCCGCTTTATTCCTGGTCAAGATAGGTGGTTCTTCTTAACAAAAAAAAGTAGCCGAATTACCTTTTGTTCAAATTTTTGTTCACATTCAAGTTTTTCTTCAATTTTGATGAACGGAAAGCTTACCGGCGAATTGGCGACGCTTAATTAATTTTAATTAATTATTAAAGTCCATCCTGCATATTTCTCAAAGATTGTTACCCCGCTATGCAAAGCCGTTGTGCGAGCTCAGCGATGTTCGCAATGCAGTGCCTGCAATGCCGTAGGGACGTTGTGCTAATTGTAAGCTGCAAACTCAAACTGCTAAGCCGGAAGAAGAAAATAGGAAAGCGTATATGCAATCTGTGCACAGCCGGCACATAATCTCAATTTCAATATACCAGCTCTCAATCTGGTATGTGAAAACGGTTGGGCATTAAGTGTACCGAAAAATTACCGGCTCTGACACGTCTAGCAACGGTAGTATTTTGACTGTTTTCTGCCGCGATAACTTTACGAACGGAAATGTTACTAAAAAGTCCACGCTCTCCATCAAGTCACCAGTTTGAAGTGGTTTTTCTGATATACAATACTACGGCCACGAGTACAGTGAATGTTTGTCACCAGTTTATGGAGTGTTATTATCAGCTTCTGAATGCACAGCTTCGTGGTAGACTCGGAAAGTCCTAGTGTCAGCAGAATGTTGAGGGTTTCCCAGGGTGGGTTGCTAGAACTTCCTCGTCTCGATGGGCGGGACGGCTGGACGTTTGTATAAAAAATTTTAAGTGTGACAGAATTTTTGAACCTAAGAATCTGCAATAAGAAGAAAAAATTATACTCAAATCAAAACTGAGTACAGATGAAATGCGCGGTTTCGAAAAACCGAACAGGTACCGGTAAGAGTTTTGTAAATTTCTGTTGTCAGTTTTGTCTTTTAAATGCTTTTTCTGTAGTTTCTATTATTTCTCACAAGACCAGCTAAGACCACGTTTTTTATCACTGTTACAGCGTAGATGTTGCGGACCGGCCTCTTGGAAAATCAGTACGTTCAAAATGTTGTTGAGCATCTGCCGCAATCCGGAATAATTTGCAAAAGAAGATTGTATAATAAACAATATACACAGCATGTATGCAAAAGAAACGGACATATCACAATAATTATTAGTATCAGACTGTGGTGTATTCACGAGATTCTGTATTCTGTACTTTCTGCTTCTCTTTTGCTTGTTTTTCTTAGCAACTCCTGCTGTTTCTATCTTGTTTCTGTAGCTGCGATTCCTTCCTTTCTATTCAGTTGCCTTCTGCTGCGATGCCATCATACCAGCCACTAGCCAGATCAATAAAGAGCGCACGATTCCAAAACTACGTTACGGATAAGGCGCCATCCATAAATTACGTCACGCAAGTAGGGGGAGGGGGGAGGTCCTGAAAGCGTTACTGTTTGTTACGAGGGGAGGGGGCTTTAAAAATTTGTTACGATGATGACGTCAACATGCTATATCGATGGAGGGTTCTCATTTTGTTACGTAACGCTCAGGGGAGGGATCTCAGTTTGTTAGCATTGGTGACACAGGGGGAGGGGGGTATCAAAATGTCCAATTTTTTGCGTGACGTAATTTATGGATGGCGCCTAATTATTATTGTATAGTATTACGAGTACGAGTATATTGCACAGACTATCAATGCACCCATTCTCGCACGCCTTGCGTTGGCCCCATTTGTTGTGCAAGTATTGTACGTATCGAACTATCATTTTTAATACAACTGTAAGAATTCCAACAACCATTCCTGTAACCATTCGTAGTCAACCATTCCTGGGCAACCATTCCTGTAGTTTGAGTTGTTTTTAGAGCTACCGTATAATCTATGCTTAAAGTTCTTATACAACTATGCATTTCGCAGGAACACACTAATGAATGATTAACGCTTATCGAGCTCTCGGAAGTGACATCTTTTGCCGCTTAAAGGATGCCGGGGCTTGTAGTCTATGCCGCACGATGTCCGTGCGGTGCACTGACGACGGAAGGCAACCGCAGGTCGCTTGGCAAATAAACACAAACCGCGCCGGACACCCCATTTTAATCACCATAAATCACATGATACACACGAATGAACGCAAAGCAACATGTTATTAATAACTAGATCACCAAGGGCCGGGTGGGAGGGTTGCGCAAAATGGTTAAAGATCTTAAAATTATAATATTGCTGTACTTCATACGACGTATTAATACTCGCTCTGCTTGTGACCTTAACAAATATCACTGGTTGCCAAGCATTACGAGAGCTCTGCGTTAACGACATTTAATGCTTTCAGCATTAAATGACATTAACGCTTATCGAGCTCTCGGAAGTGACATCTTTTGCCGCTTAAAGGATGCCGGGGCTTGTAGTCTATGCCGCACGATGTCCGTGCGGTGCACTGACGACGGAAGGCAACCGCTGGTCGCTTGGCAAATAAACACAAACCGCGCCGGACACCCCCAAAGCGGAACGCAACCCCCAACCCGGAGCGGAACCAAACACAAACGGCAATTTTACTGAAAAACTAAACCGCCAGTACAGATGACATATTAGTAAGCAATTTTGAAATAAGGAGAGTGTCAGACTGAATGTAACGATTAACTGCATCGCTTGACCAACGGCCAAGCATTCGAATCTGATCCGCTGGGATTCCGGCGATGGCAGCTGTAGTTGCAGCGCCAATTCGAATGGAATGGCATGAGTATGCAGGACCGAGGCATCTCTTGAATAATGTAGTCAGATACTGACGCGTTAGGAAAACTCCATCATGAAACATAAACAAAGGAGACACAGAAGTATGAAATCGATCTCGGAAAATTAAGTAATTACGAAAGTTAAGAACTGGACAAGTTTCACTACGCAGAGGAGGAAGCAGAACTGTTACAGGAGCAAACTGAGAAGACTTCGAAATTTTTAGAGTCAGAAGAAGACCATGCGCTGAAATAGCCACATCAGATCTGAGAAGAGTTGACAGGGAAATGGCTGTCTGTTTGGGAGCACAGAACTCGGAAACACGAAGAAAACCATAGAAAGATACAGTAACGGCAGCCCGAAGCATTGCGATAGTGTAAGAAGGAATGGGGAGAGAAGAAATAAAACGAAGGAGAAAGACTAGTTTGTCCAAAGTAATTCCATCGCGTTTGCGGACAGATTGCCCACGGATTCTCGTCCATCCAGAAAACATGAATGCCACAAACCGCTTATCCGGCAAGGGATCGCGATGGCCGTTTAAAAGATGATGAGTGATAACGGCAGAAAGGTATACCCGTGCAGTTGCACACGAAAGACCTTTCTGGTACAAGAATGCCACAAAATTCTGAAGGACATGAGAATCCGTGGGCATCTGTATGTACTTGAAAGTAGAACAAAAGCTGTTGAAGCAACGTAGTGCAGATCCGTATGCCTGACGGCTTGAGGGGGCTAAATGAGCGTGCAGTAGCGAAGTAATAGTGCAGTTAAACTGCGCTTGATTCATCAACGGGCATCCTGCAACATAATATTGATTACTAGTTGTGAACCTAACCAATGGTTATGCGCTCTGAATACTACTTTCGGCGTGAACGTTGAGAACCGATCAAGGTAGGAAGAAAGGCTGGGAAATCAGGCGTAAACATGTCCGGTTCTGCAAAAGCTGTCTTATGTGCTTCAAAAAACTTGACCATCTCATGCCGGGATAATGCATCGGCCGCTAAATTCTCGCACCCAGGAAGGTATTTAATTCGTATGTGGAAATTATGGCGCGCAGCTTCAAAATGAATCGCACGAACGAGATCCATCACCCCCGAATGCTTACAAGAAAACTTTGCCCAGACTTGAGACACTGCCTGGTTGTCGGTGAAAAAGGTCAACCGCTTGCCATGCCACTGCGATCCCCAGTTAGAACAAGCAAAGAATATCGGCGCCATTTCCAACCAGGTTATATGCGGCTGGACGCATAAGATGCTGTCCGGCCAAGAGATATAAAACCACCGGCAACCGAAAATTGCACCACAGCCAGAGCCACATGCATCGGTGAATATCTGCAGAGAAGCACAGTCAGTCCAGTTTGGTTCGATAAAAGAAGTTGTACCATTCCACAGAGGTAAAAACCGAATCCACCACTGAAGGTCTGCGTGGAATTCACGGGAAAGAGTTACATGTTGACGCAGATCTTTAACGGACAGCGAAGTGTCGATCATTCGACGTAGAAAAATTCTCCCGGCAGGTATACATTTTGTTGCAAAACTGAGTTTTCCGATCAGACTCAAAAGGTCACGCTTGCAGCAGGATGTTTTGGCCGAGAAAACTACGAACTCGTTTTGGAGCTCTTGGACTTTTGATGCAGGAATCGAGAGCGTTTGAGATTCGGAGTCAATGCAAATGCCCAGAAAGGTCAACTGGGCAGACGGACCTTCCGTCTTTTCCGGGGCTAAAGGAACACCGAGATCCTGACACAGGATGGCCATCAGTTCCGTGGCGAGTCTACACATCGGAGAGTTAGAAACACCAGCAAAGAAGAAATCGTCCATGTAGTGTAAAACATCTGCAAACTTTCCCACGTGAACGATAATCCAGTGCACAAACGAAGCCATGCGATCGAATATCGCCGGAGACGAACGGCAGCCAAAAGGCAAAACAACATCAAAGTAGTACTTATTGTCGAAAGAATACCCCAGGAGATGCCAATCATCCGGGTGTACCGGGATTAAACGGAAGGCGTGCTTGAGGTCCATCTTTGCCATTAACGCGCCTTTGCCGAGCCGCGTAACGATTCTCACAGCGTCGTCTACAGAACAGAATTTCATTGAATAGGTTTTTTGACAAATCGAATCGTTCACAGAGTCGCCGAAAGGACGAGACAGATCCATGATTAGTCTCGCTCCGCCGGTCTTTTTAGGTCGGACACCGAGAGAAGAAATGACGAAATGTGGCAGCGGAATGTAATCGAAAGGTCCTAGCGTATGACGCAGACTGATTTCTTTGGCAAGGTACTTTCGTACAATCTCAGGATGGTTGCGAGCTGTCAGGGCATTGGGAGTGTAACGCGAGTGCTGAGAACCGGTAAACCCGATGACGAAACCGTACAACAATCCTGCAATGAAACTGTTTACTGCTGCCCGATTAGGATACTTACGCAAATAACCCAGGAACTTAAAAGGGCGGAGTGGCGTAAATGGGTTAGCTGCTACTGGGACCGGTATGGTGCTCGCGAGTGTGACTGGTTTCGAAGCACTGGTCGCACACATGTATTCTTCGATGGGGGCATGGGGACTGGCACTTTCCCGCGTTGTAGTCCCTGCATACGGCAACGCGGGGCCCGCGAAAGGGCTGCGTTAAACGAGAGGCGGATGGCTGAGATGGAGCGTTTGACATAACAGGCTTTGCACGTTGAGGACAAAAGGTCGCGTAATGATTCGGATCGCGGCAGACGAAGCATCCGTAAGGCGGCTTTGCAGATGGATTAAAAGCGGCATTGGGATGCGGCGGCAATTGAAGTGATGAGGTAAAACTTAAGTTCTGCGGAGGTGGCTGGTAAACCGCGGGAAAGGTAGGGATGGAACGCAACACATCCGCCATGATGGACGAATCTTCCGAAAACCAAGCTGTTTCATTCACATCAGGGAAGGTCATCCTTTCACGAAACCGGCGGTCGTAATCTAACCAAATCAATAAAGGTCGTGTTAATGCTAAACCTCTAATGATATCAATGTAAGCCAGAAAACCCGGGGCCAAGTCTGGATGATGGAAGATGCGATAACGGATGAAAATTAAAAATGCCTCCAGCCAGGAATTGAAGCTGTCGATTTTTCTGCGGCTGGTGGTTGAAGCTGCAGGAATAAGCTTGCCCTCCGAATCAGCAATATAAGTGCTGGGTTCCGATGATGTATCGATACCACGATGCATAGGCTGCAGTTTATGCAACTGGATAAACGAGAGACGATCAGCCAGCTGCTTGGATAGAGTCGGATCCAGTGCGGGCAAGCCCATATATGACGGAGGACGCTGTGACCCACCTGATGGCTGGGATAGGTCAATGAAAGGGGGTTGAATTGACCGGCGAGGAAGATCAGCGACACTCGTCCCTGCTGTGGGCGAAGCCATGGGCACTGTTAAGGCAGCCAGTTGACTTTGCAACTGGGAAATCGTTTGCTCCATAGCAGCAAGATGGAGAGAATCGGGAGAGGTTCGGTTGACTTCTTCGGATGGCTTCTTTTTTGTCACCCCAACACGTTTCTTTTTAGGTTTGGTTGAAGAACGCGTTGTAGGACCCATTTTTTATTGCGCAAAATGGTTAAAGATCTTAAAATTATAATATTGCTGTACTTCATACGACGTATTAATACTCGCTCTGCTTGTGACCTTAACAAATATCACTGTTGCCAAGCATTACGAGAGCTCTGCGTTAACGACATTTAATGCTTTCAGCATTAAATGACATATATTTTATACCCTTAACTACTATGCATTTCGCAGGAACACACTAATGAATGATTTATTGATTAATCGCAGGCAAGCATTTATTCAACTCCTAACCGGCCTAACATGAATGTTGAGTTTGAGGCACCAGGTTTAAGCTATATTTCCGGAAAACAAAAAGATACTACGGTATGCTTCTGTTAGTATCTACATAACATCTGAAATCGAATACGAGTACTTACTTTGTATTTACTTCGTTTTTAGTTTATAGTACTTACTGCGATCAGAACCATAACCATAACCTGTGATTAGATTCAGTCGTTCTGCCTGACAATGAAGCTGCAACTATCGCGTTGATTTTGTTATACTGAACAAGTTTACAATGTAGGACTAAATGGTCGCATAGCCCCATACCCAGCATTCTGTACGCAAGCGGTGCCGTGCACTTGTACGAAACGGATATTTTGACCTCAGTCGTACAGTGCACTGCGCTGCATACGTACTGAATGTGGAGATGTTGGGTATGCGACCATTTCGTCCTAATTGTAAGCTGTACTTCCGTCTTCCTTTAACGGGGTGCATAACCTTGACACGGTTGCGTGATATACATATGCCAGTATTTTTACCTCCTAAACAACGCTTGAAAGTAGACAAATGCAAATATACTAGATAACTCAGGTAAGTACACAGTTCAGCATGTCACATTAAAACAACTGACAATCTGACATTATACGAAAACTCATTGCCCGTCCAAAGATTTTCCAAGGTCACGTTTCTGGAGCAGTCTACGCTGAAGACATCCGTCTTATTTCCATTTCTTGTAACAGCGGGTGATAAATAGTTTCCGACTATGAACACCTCACCCAAATCCTTTCCCTCTATCAAGTACGGTTTCTGCTTCAGGAAACTGCGAAACCAGGAAAACAAGCAGTCGCAGTGCACATTCTACACATAGTGGAGGTAATCGTCGGTTGTAAATCTACGGTAAGCTGGTTCAGGAATGTATAGATTCAGCAACGTCCTGATAATATTTCTCTCCATTGTCAGACTACGGAAATGAATTAAATCCGTGAAACTGCCCGGCTCCAGCGTGCTGATTGTGCATTCATATAAAGCGAGCATCCGTAGTTGCGGCATTCTGCCGAAATGCTTCTTCTGGATCGTCATGTTGGGACAATATCCAAGCGCGAAACTGTACAGATTGGGCAGCACACCCAGTGCGTGCACTTTAGCTGTCGTATTCGGTGATCGGCAGTTGTGAACAGCGAGATGCACGGTTTGATTACGAATGGGTTCCACTATATCAATGGTAACCGGATCCTGCTATGCCTCCCACTCAAACAGATTCAACAGGATGGCGCGCTGCGGACTGATTTGCCGCACAAGGTTGGTGGTATTAGCTACCAGCGCATGCGGCCGGTATATACAGGATACTTCCAAGTACGTTCTGAGCATCAGTTTATCTTCACGAAGAGTCTTAGCCTTTAAGTTGCACCGATCATAATTAAAATTCATCATACATATCGAATTCTCCAGTTCATATTTCAAATACCGACTGCATTCTTCAAAGGTAATTAAGTCTGTTCGAAAAGGATATGCTGCGGCTGGAGAAATTACATTGTTCAGTACTGTCGAACCCTTAAAGCTGCAGTCCGTCTCCGCGTCAGTCAGCCTGCCTACCAAAATTTTCATAAAATCAAATAATTGTACAAGAGTACTCGATTCGGGAAAGGAATTGATTTTTACTGAAAAGGATTTCTCAGATTTTACTGAAGGTCTCCAGAACGAACGTCTTGTACGGTATTATGAAACTTTTAAAAATCCCGTCGTTGCATGACTTACCGTCGAAGCTGACAATAGACCAAAACACGATATACTCGTATCTCAAGTCTTTCATTTTGGAGTTTTAATTCGATTCAGCAATGCAATGTGTCTTCATGCAGTATCAGTTATATCAGAAACAATGGTATCCGCATTGAATGGCTGAAAGCGAGTAAAAACGTTGACGCTTGCTGATTGCTTTGCCCTAGAGCTGCAGTTTTCAAAACTGATTGATGGGTTTCCATATTTATACTGCAGTGCAATGGGTCAGTTGAACCATCTCTGTACGTGTGCGCAGGATGCATCACAAACATATTTACGGGGAAAAAAAAACAAGAACTGGGTTTAAACAGCACGTGTATAAAAACAAGTAATATACGTATACTGACGCTGCCAGTGGTTTTTTGTTTCATCTATAGAGTAATTTCAGTTCTGTGTTGCCAACCTTTTGAATCAGATTGGCCGCATGCTGTTTCGCGACGCATCGAAATTTAAATCAATTGACACTGGACGTGGAAGAAAAATTTAAGTATCCGTTTCTGACAGTTTGTGTTCTATTCTATCAGTCAGAACCGCAACTGTGCCGAATCACTTTTGCCTGCAGAAGCTTGCATTATCCTTGCTTTATATGGACAACTAAATAAGCAGCTCGTCTCTTCAGTACCTAAAAATAAGTCCTAAATTACTTTCATGTTGTTTCAGATTAAATTAGTTTTCTTGTTGTAAACTGCTTAAAGCTTCCCTGTTCAAGCGGCAGCAATACGGTACCACGTAGCATCGCTGTACGCTGATAAAAGCTGCATGCGTGGATCCGTCGGTACAAAAGTTGGATCCGTCGGTCATCGCCTCAAATTTGCCGATTCAGCAATATTTCACCCGGAAGCGACAATAAGCATTACTGCTTCTTTGTAGATACTCTCATTGTCAGTTCCGGAAAATGGGTGATGCGGTATTAGTTAATTGCCGATTACCAGGCAATACGTTTCCGGTGTGCCGTTATGCTGAATTTTGTCAGCAAGAAATCGTCAACGTTTTCTGTTAATAGTCCTGTTTGAATCAATCACAGCTGTGTCGAGTCAACCGTTTTGTCCGAAGCTGCATTTCAGGATTCATCGACCGGTCACCGGAACTTAGCAAAGGTCTTCTATATTCAAGGCTGATGCTTTCGATGATTTCTGTCCGTTAGGAAGGTCGTTACGAAAGGTCGTTACGAAACTGCTGCTGGTTGGTATTGTTGCTAAATTTAAATTATTAATAATTCTGTTAATTATAACTGTTAAGAGCGCTTCTGGTAGGTCGTTCAAAATTAGTTATCACCCGCACGAGTGAAAAGATGCTATTCTCCGGTATGCCAAATGCACGCCAACGTGCATTTTTCCTAGCTATTAACGATCGCGAGCAGTGTAACTACCGGTTCCACAGCTGTTTACAATTGTGCCATCTGTAGTAATACCTTTTCCTGTTTCTATTCTCTTACTCGCGTATTTACGTAGATTCGGTTAGTACTCTGTTTTATAGCAAAGCTGAGAAATTACAAGCAATTACATTTACATCGCCAAATACGGTATTCTTTAGTAGTACAAGCAAAATTTTTGCTCTTCAAAGAGGTTGAATTAAGCAGATGGGAGTGCGGTGCGTCTTTAAATCAACAGGTCACATTACAGTGCGAGGCACTGTACGAAACCCTTTTGCCAGTCTAATTATTGTCCGAGCTGACATTTTTGTATTAATCAAAACAGAAAACATAGGTACTGTCCCGTTTATCAGTAAAATTCTATGCTGAACACTTACCCTGAATTCTCTCTATCAAATAACGCTAGAGTCAGAAGAAATTACATACGCAACCAGGGAAACAAGCAGTTACAGTGCAGTTTGTACGCATAAATAGTCGAGTCGAAGGTCGATTGGTCGTTACAAAATTTATTGCGTGTATAACGTGGTACTCAGAATGAGTCCAAGACAGAGATCCCCACTGACAGGATCCTGCGTAGCGTAATATGCTATGAAATCTGGATAAATGCCCAACGCACGGCATCCACTAGCATAGGTACACTTTATTGAGTGTGCAAATCAACTCACATCAACACTGACTGAACACTGGCAAATCTGCCAAGCGAAGAGCTAAATCAACGCTCTTCGCAGCGCACATAGGCGCGCCCACACAAGGCACATACAACCAATCAGAGGAGACACAACACTGACACGTCATCCGCTTAACGCCACAGGCGTGAGGGTGGACGTGAGTACAGCCATGGCTCACATGCTCTCTGGGAGGGATGCCGAGCTCCGTTCGAGGCTGCATCCATCTCCGTGTCGAATCCAATCGTTTTGGCGGACGGCCTGTGTGTGCTCATAAAAATGCTAATAAAACATCATCTCTTTAGTCCATTTTATCACATCTAATTTTATTCCAAGTACACGATGTGAAAATAAAGAGATCTGTATAAAAATACTATAACATCAACAGTAAAAACAGATCAACAGAAGTATTAATCAAAATCCGTAGACTAGGATCCTCCACTCATCGGGTCACAGGTATCCTGTCCACCGTTAGGAACTTTTTCGGTCCAATTCCGCTCCATTGAGCAACTTCGCTCCGCTTGAGCATCTTGCGCATCACAATGCGACTTTCATCACGTCAGATCCGCTTTGAGAATCATGTGCGTATCATCGTACGACTTATGAATACTGCTTCGTCTTTGGAATATTGCGTATCTAATGTACGACTTCGGCCAGATGAGATCCGTATTGGTCATGGAGGGACGTCATGTAGACAAGCGAAGTTCGCTTCCTCCCTGGTAAGATCATCTTTGAGATGATCCAGATGTGCGACATCGTAATAATTCATCTTCCATTTATGGCATGAAGGAACTGTAGTCGTTTCAAGCTCGACTTTCAAGCTCGTTTCAGCTTGCCTCCCTAGTAAAGTTCACCTGTCGCACATCTCATCCTTATTACAGAGAGCCGGCAAGTTATACCGTAGCAACTCCGTTTAGAGATCCGGCTAATTACCGTCGATTCTCACACTTCTAAGATGAGCTGAG